CGCAGTGGGCCGGTGCCGGAGCCAGCGAGCCCCCTAAAGCAGCGGCCGGCCGAATTAACGCGGGACCCTTCCGCGCAACCGGTCCCGGGCGCTGCAGGTCAGACGCCGCAGAAACGCCTCCCCCCACCCCCTCTGTGAACGGAGCTGGTGCGGGCCCTTTTGCGGGGAATTCCGTGCGCAGGGGAGGCGATGAAGTCACCGGGAAGTGAGCCCGACGCCGAGGAGGCCTGACGCTTGGGGAAGGAAGGCAAACTGCCCAGGTTCAGGGCCCAGAGTCCCCGCTTACGATAGGTAGAAGCAGCCCAGAGTCGGTTGACTGACTCAGAACGCAGCTGCGGATCTTGAGGCTGCGCGTGTGGACCGGGGTGGGTTCGCGTGTCACGCCCGCAGGTGAAATCAAGAGCTGTGGTTCAGGTCTTGGCAGTTGGGGGACCTTAACCAGACCGTGAGCCAGTGCGAATGCAGCTATAAAGGTGCTTGGTAAGGATTTGTCATTAGTTTTCTTGCGGTTTCCTTCCAGCATCGAGGCTGGTGCTTTCTTGGTTAGAGAAACTCTGGAATCTTCAGTGCAAAGTGTTGATTATCTATTAGAGAACATCAGTAACAGCTTTTTTTGCCCTGAAATAAAAATTCTTACCAGGGAGCACCAAGGAAATAGCAGTTGTCTTAGTGGTCACTCTGCGGCCTTGAATATTACCTCTGCGTAAGTACATAAGTTGAGCCTGATGGCCAAGCATAATCAAGCTGAGATACTCAAGGACCTACACATAATAGGTAAAAGGTTTTATCACAGCGAGCACTGAGTTGGGCAGCAGAGTTTTGTTACACTTTAAAGACTAGCAAATTATGATTTTACTAACCAGAGCTCCTGAAGCTGTATATTTCAACCCACCAGGGGATCATGAGCAACTTGAGAAAATGGATCGCGTACCTTTTTAAAACTGCCCCAGTCATGGTAGTGGAGCTTGAATGTATGAGTATTGACAAGCTTATGAATTAGTTTTTCACCTGCTTTCTTAGTAGAAGCTCAAGGGGTTTTTGAATTGCCAACAATATTGTAGTCTTTAACTTATTTATGTTATAAAACATTTAGAAATGAACTACTTATACTCCCATAGCTATTTGGCTTACAAAATGTTTATCCTGTAAAATACATAGTTACATTAAGCACATCAGTAAAAGGGGTTGTAATTTGCTTTGATTAAAAATAATGTATATCGTGGATTTGACTTCTAATGTAACTAAAGTGGACAAAAGACTTATTTCTGTAGAGTATAGCGATTTATTTTTGCTATAGGTTTATATGCCATACCACTTGTCAATCAATTTTGGGCAGGTTATAATCCCACAATATATAAACAGATTAAAAGAACAAAAAAGCAACTGTAGCAATTATATGATAAAATATAATTTTAAAAGAGTTGTTTTTTAGTAAGGTAGGTGGTGACAAATTTGATATATAAATAAAAATATTCCTGTTCCAAGAAATAGTCATAGTCTATATACAAGAGAAATCCCTGTCAAGTCATTTCCTCTTGAAAGTCCTGCTGAAATAATTGAGTTTTAATTGCTCCCCTAAATCCCATTAATGTTGGGGCAAACCAAGTGGATTCTTGTTAATCAGCAACAAACTGTTATTGGATATCGGCATCCCGAATGACAGCAACCACTGCTAGTTGGATTCTCCAACGTCCCTCAGTATGAAGTAGTGTATTAACCCTAATCCTAAGTAGTGTATTCAGTCTTTAGAGAATGTTGGACTTTGTAGGCTAGAGTGAAAAGTTTTTGCATAAAGAAAGCTAGGAAAACCAGAAGCTTCTAGTTTGTTTTATGTAGAAAGTGTGTGTGTAAAAACATTAAATTGTAGAGTGGCTGACTGCTTGGGCTGGGAAGAATTAGGCCTGTTTGCTCCATTGTGCCATATGCAGGCATTTTCTAGTAGCATCTGGGTGGCCACTCTGTGTGTGTGTGGGGGGGGGTTCTTTTAAATATGGCCAGCTGAGACTTTGGGGAGACATTGTCAATGACGGCAGAAAGTTGACAGCGCTAACTGAAATGAAACGTACAGGTGCTTGCATCTTATGCTAGAGTATGTTACAAGTAAGAGATGCTTATGAAGATCTCCTCATCTTGAGACTTGAGTGTAGAAGGGATGTATTGATAAAATAATAAGGTAAGAGTTTTAATCAATCCTGGGGGTGGCTGGCACCCTGATGTCACTCCTGAGTTATTTGTCATTTCCATCATTCTTGGAATTTATTATTTTTAAGATTGTCTTTATATTGTCTTTTAATTGATTTTATCTCCTTTGTAAACCACCTAGAGTCACTTTTCAACGAGATGGGCAGTGACAAATTTGATATATAAATATAAATAAATAAAAATGTTTTGTACATTCTGGAAATACTCTTGCCTTAGAGACAATATATGCCATTTCTTTATGAATTTAGTATTTGTATGTTATAACTTAATTACTTGTGTTTTTAATAATAATACCTCATGATCTTTGTTTCCCAGAGCCTCAGCAGTCAGTATTAGTTTATGCTTTTGTGAATTTGAGCTGGATATAAGTTGAACAGTTTTGTCCTCTCAAATAGCACTTTTCTATTTTAAGAAGTCCAGCATTCTTTTTGATTCATCATGCTTCACTGCATGAATGTATTCATGACATTAAGCCACAATTTGCTTACTTGGCCCAATTTTCTGAGTTCGGAAGACACACTGAAATATAAACTAACCGTGTATCCAGGGTTTGCATGGTACACTTGGTTGAAATGTGATCAGTTAGTTCATGGTTCAGTGTGTCTGGAAGGCTATACACCATGCTTCGTACCTCACAGTAGCTTTGCACATCAAGCCAAACCCAAATGAAGTTAACTGTTACAGCTTAGCTCAGTGTGTGAAGCCAGCCATTACAGTCCTAATGCTTGACCAGGAAGCTACATAGTAGAACTTCATAAATAGGCAGCAAGAAATGTGATCTTCAGTGTATAATTCTAGTGGAGGACTTGTCTGGGTATCATGCTATTATTAGATGAAGTCAGTAGCAAGCAGCTGCTGCTAAGACCAAAACAAAGATTAATTAACCAGTAATCCAGTTAGTCCTAATTTACTGAATAAGCCAAAGTTGGCTGCATTCACACAGTGTAAGCTATGAACCAATGGCTTACAGACTACAATGGCTAATTGCATGCAAACAGGCTAATCCAAAACCAGAATATGGCATGGTGTGAATCAAGTCATTGATTTGTTTTTTAATTTATTCATTTACTGCCATTTCTATGCATCTCTATTCCCAAGATGTAAAATCTCCAGGCAGGTTTTCATTCCTCTTCTTTGCTTCAAGGAGCCATTGTGCTGCTTTCAAGCCAGGGTCCTTGGATATGCTTCTCTTTCCATTTCCAAGGATGGGGAAGCAACTATTTTATTAACAGATCAGTTTTTCTGTTCTTGGAGCATTTGAAATGTTACTTGGATGAACATGGTTGTTTCCTTTATTTCTAGTTCATTTTGCACAGTAGTTAGAGTTAGTTTGCACACTAACTCGTGTGCCAAGAAATGTACTTGTTAAACTCACTTAGCTTAGATCAGGAAGTTCTACAACTTCTGCTAGTTGACCTTGAATTGCTTAGGTTGATTTAAATGCACAAGTTCAGTTTTGAATCCTATGGTAAATGGAAATTATTTGATTCTGACCATCACTTGGAAGCTGTTGGTAACTGACAACTTTCTGTTGCCTTGGCTCCTTTATTGATGGAATCATAAAAAAACAAAGTTGGAAGGGACCATGGAGACCAACTAGTCCAACCCCCCACTTAGATTCACTAAGTGACAGATTTTGGACAGGTGGCTCTCCAGTCTCTGTTTAAAGACTTCCAATGATGAAGAACATCCCACTTCATGAGGCTGCCTGTTTCCACTGGCTCTTATTATCAGAAAATACCTCCTCCACTTCTCTCCAATCTTGATGTGGATCAATTTATGAATACTTTCTGGGAGTGGTCATTTGTTCAGTTATGTATTCTTCTAACAGTTGTTTATCTAGCCCATATATTGTCATTTTATTAATGAGGATATAATGAGAAACTGAAAGGAAAGAAACTCAATGAGGTTAAGATATACTATATCCATGGCATTCCCCATATCTATTAAAGCTTATAACTCACAGAAAGTAGACAAGGTTAGTCTGGTATGATTTGTTTGTGACAAATCCGTGCTGGCTTTTGTTAATAGTTGCATTCAAGTGCTCACAGATATGCTGTTTAATCATCTGCATGAGGACTTTGCCCAGTATTGATAGCAAGTTGACAGACTGGTAATTTGCTAATGCCCTTTTTTTTTTTTTGGAAGATAGGGATAACATTGCTCTTCCCAGCCTTCTGGGGCTTTACAAGTTCTTCAGGAGTACTGAAAGATTGCAGTTAGTTCTATAATCACCTCCACTAGTTTCTTTAGTACCCTAGAAATTCATCTGGTTCTGGAGACTTGAATTTGTTTAAATTAACTAAGTGTTCTTTTACCCTTCTTTACTGATGGACCTTGACAGCTCATATGGACATGATAAGAAACTAACATGGAAAAATATAGTTTATCTATATTTTCTGAAAAAAAGCCTAATATGAACTCCTAAAAGCTGAGTTTGTTGAAAAAAAATTATTTTCTCTTTTTTAGGTTTTGAGAAACTAAAATAACTTCAACATGTTTAACAAATCTTTTGGAACGCCCTTTGGAGGCAACACGGGGGGCTTTGGAACAACTTCAACTTTCGGACAGAGTAAGTTGTGACTAAGAATGGGGGGATGTTTTGGTCCAGGTAGCTTAGTATCAGCTCCTCCGATGGGCAGTTTCAGACAGAAATCTTTTACCTCCTTGTATGCTATATATTTGAATCCACAGGTGATGAAGATTTGAGGCTTCTTCTGTTTTTAGTCTCCTCTCTTCTGGAAATGCTTAAACCACATATTTTAAATTTTAATAGTACATTATCTTTGTGAACTACCTAGAGAATAATATTATTTGGCAGTCTTACATTGAACGTTAGAACATTTTCTTTATAAAGTGAATATGGATGGGATAGAACTGAGTTAAATGCTTTTTATTTAAAATTCTATTTTTTAAATATGGTAAGCCCTCCAAATGTTTGCCCATCAAATGCACTTTTTGACTGTCACATACTTCACATGGGAGCCTCAGCGTTCTGAAAGATGCGGCTTGCAAAACCATGCGCTATAAAAAAAATGCGCTCTGTGTACCCCGAAAGTGGTTTCACCTTTCTGTCAGTCAACTGTGGCTGTGAGAGCAGCTGAATTTCAGCCCTACTGTGAACTCAGACACCCTCCCCCCCCCCCATTCCCCCCTTCCTGCTTTGCAGATACTGGCTTTGGGACTACCAGTGGAGGAGCCTTTGGGACATCGGCCTTTGGATCAAATAACAATGCTGGGGGACTCTTTGGTAGCGCTCAAACCAAGCCAGGTACAGATCCCTTCCTGCCTTTTGTGCCCCACGTCCTTTTCTCCTCTCTGGTGCCTGATCAGAGGGCTTCTTCTTGGTTGCAGGAGGGCTCTTTGGGGCAAGTACTTTTAGCCAGCCAGCTACGTCATCCACGAGTACTGGTTTTGGTTTTGGAACGTCCACCGGAACGTCCAGCGGCCTGTTCGGGACCGCAAACGCAGGGGGAGGCCTCTTCTCATCCCAGAACAATGCCTTTGCCCAGAATAAGCCCGTGGGGTTTGGCAGTGAGTATGGCTGTTTCTAAAGTAGCTTGGAAATGCTGTATGTGTGGTGCCATTACTGGTTTGTTTCACTCAGCAAAAGGCATCTCTTCAAAACGTCTGAGAAAATGCTCCTGAGCATCTTTGTGGAATGAGGCTTGGGTACGGTTGACAAACTGAGGTTTGTAAGATTCACAGAGCATTATTGGAAATTCATCTTTCTAACATTCTGATAAAATAAAAATAGACGAACCAGTGCATGAACTGAAGAACGTGTTTGGTCAAATAATCAGAATAAGTGTGATTAGAAATATAATCTGAAGTATTTTAAACATTCCGTCTTCTCCCTTTCCCACCTTTGATCCCCATTGCAGGATTCAACCTCCTGCTGAATTCTCTGTTATTTTAGTTTTGTTTATACTCTTTCAGCCAGCAGGTGTGGGGACAGTTCTGTTAAGACAGCCAAGGACCTTGATCAAATGTACAACGTGAAGAAATAGTCCTGCAAGACAAATAATAATTTGCAACCTGTTTTTAAAACCAGCTTTAGTGGAATACAATCAGCAAGAGCATTGCCTTTTCTGGCAGTAATGTAATTAAGAGTAAGCTGAGGCCTGTTCATTGTTCATACCCTGAAATATTTTCCTGTTCTTTCAGCTTGTATGTAGTATTTTCACAATGCTAATAGTGATCCAAAGTGACCTGCTGTTGAAAAAAGCATTACTCAGTGATAACTTTATTATTAATTATGACAAATATATTTTCTGGATATTCTTGGAAATTGTTTTTTAAAGTTCTGATTTAAACAGATTTCAGCATGTAGAACGGGGCTGTTTATAAGAGTCAGCAGTCAGTCAGAATGCCATTTCCCAGGTGTTTGGATAGATTGAGGGAAGTGGTAGATCAGGCCAGCCCCTGTGCAAGGAATCAGTTCAAACCTCTGATTCCTGAGCTACCTGTCCTTTCCTGCAGTTTGGGAGGGAAGAAGTGCCAGCAAGAGGAGGAATAAAACAGACCTATTTCCCTTTTCCACCTGTTCCCTTTGGCCAAAAGAATTGGTGGCTTTTTTTTTTCTGAGGAGACTTTGTAGAAGGCAGGATTTCCTGTGGGCATTCTTGGCAAAAGTGGAACTTGCTGGATGGAATCCTCTTCCTTCCTTTACTCCCCGCAGAGGAAAGGAAAAGTGGTTCTCCCCACCCCAAACTTGAGCTTTTGTAAATGTGTAAGCCGCATGTTCTTGGTACCTTCTGTGAAAAACAAATGGACAAGGAAATTGCATTTATCCCTGAATAAAAGACGTGGGCTTCTTTCTTAATCCCAGGTTGTGTGTGGAAAGGAGTGTTTATTCATCCTTGTTCATGCTGATCTGTGACCCAGTTCTGGTTAATTTGAAATGTTATAACTTCAGTCTGCTTTCCATCAGGTATTCATTGTATGAAAAAAGGTTTTATCTGTGATATGTTTGGACATTTATTTGATTTTTTTTAACAGATTTTGGGACAAGCACCAGCAGTGGAGGGTTGTTTGGAACCACTAACACAACCTCCAATCCATTTGGAGGCACATCTGGCTCCCTTTTTGGATCAACAAGCTTTCCCACTGTCCCCACTGGCACAACTATTAAATTCAATGTAAGCCCCATTCATGTGCACTTTTTAATTAATTTCAGCCTTCATGCTGTCTCTTGGGCTTTTGATTCTTGTGCAAGATATATCTAAATGCTATTCACTGTCAGCGATACAAGAGAACAAGACTTCATGTTTATCATGATTCCCATGAAGCCTCATTATCCTCTCTCAGACATATGGCCTTCCATATGGGGCAGCATAACAGTATTTAATTTTGGATTAGGAAGTTCTTGTCAAGATGTCTCTGGATGTGTGATACTTGCAGGAACATATGCTAGGGAATCTGGATTAATTTCGCTGCTGTAGAGGATCCGATACCATATGTTGATGTAGTTCTATTTGTACATTATTTCAAGAAGGGAGGCTGAGAATAACAGTTACGTTTCCCATCACTTGAGAAAAGGCTGTAGTACTATGACCAAGTACCTGCTTCACATGTAGAAACTCTCGCTTCCAACCCCTGCCATTGCAAGGCAGGATGAGAGGCCGTTCTCCGAGGGAGGCTTTGGAAAGCCGCTGCCAGCCAGTGCAGATTGCCCTGAGTTCAGTGGGGCCCCCAGTGTTCTGCCTTGGTAGGTGGCTGCTCCTTGGAATTGTGAAAAAGAGGAAGGGGGTGTTTCATCGGCATTGCTTTAGGGCAGAGGCCCCTTTAAGGGGTGGATGGAACCGCAGATCTTGAGGGTTCTGTAGCAGTTGATGAAGTAGAAGATGGAGAGATCTGCTAAAAGGGGGGTTGTCTGTCTGTGCAGCAGTGAGGATGGAGCTCCCCTGCTCACATTCCTTCTAAAATTGCAACAGCAGGCAAAGTCAGAGTCATGAGGGCTCCCTTCCAGGTAGGAAAAGCTTGACTCAGAAGAGACCAGAGCGTAGGTAAGGAGAGGGTAGAACAGCGTGCCCTGCACAGCAAGGCAGGAGGCGTCCAGCTGCTGCTTCGTGCCCCCAAGAGCAGTAACCCTCAGATAGGCAGCCCAGGCCCTGCATGCTGGCCAGAGCCATGGCAGGGTTTCCTCAGTCCCAGCTCGGTGCTTGAGCCATCGGAGCCCGCTTGCAAGCCCACAAGGCACCACCGGGGCTCACAGGAGCGTCGCTTCTTTCGGGACCTGCACCTTGGTGAGCTTGTCATTTTCCTTCCAGCCACCAACCGGTACTGATACGATGGTCAAGTCTGGAGTCAGCACAAATATCAGCACCAAGCATCAATGCATCACTGCTATGAAGGAGTATGAAAGTAAATCACTAGAGGTCAGTGTGGACTCTTTGCCTGTGGTTGCTTGAATAAAGCCCAGCTGGAGGGATTCACACAACTCTTCGGTCACATTTCGGCTTAGCTGCACCTTGATGACTTGCCCAATGTCAGCTGTGCAGGGTTGGAACTCCTTCCCTTTGAGAACAGCGCTCCCCCCTTTCAAGAAGCACCCGGTTCAAATGCTGCCTTTCCTATTTTTGGAAAGGCCAGAGCATGGAGAAGATGATCCTTGCGGGGCCTCTGTGTGCTCAGGAAACATTTCTTGTTTAGGAGCTTCGCTTGGAAGACTATCAGGCTAACAGGAAAGGTCCCTCCAACCCAGTCGGAGCTGGAGCCACTCCTGGCTTGTTTGGATCGTCAACTGCTACGTCCAGTGCAGCCACAGGACTCTTTGGCTCCTCCACCACTAACACGGGCTTTTCGTATGGGCCAAATAAAACAGCGTTTGGAACCAGTAAGTACCAATGGGCTTGTGTGCCTGTGTGCTGTACCCAGGCTTGTAAAAAACTGTTGTAAAGTTTTATGCTGTTGCTGTGGTCTTGAGGGGAAAACATCCTCCAGGAAAGCCAAATACTTTACTGGGCAGGCTTCCGGCACCATGTCCCTCCAGGGTGCTCAGTGGACAGTGGCTGAAGAGAACCAGCCTGGGTCCAGTCTAGGAGTCAGGAAGCTCACGTTCAGATTTCACTCATCCCACAGGCTTGCTCTTGGTGCTCAACCCCATTTGCATCCCAGAATTGTGTTCCATATAAAATGGTGAGATGATGCTTTGCTTTTGACCAGCAAGGAAGAAGCCATAGAAGAGAGTGGCTTCTTCCAAGGGAGACATAAGATGCCGTGCTTGCAGGTGTCACAAGGATTTTGCTTGGTTATGAAGTCATAAGTTGGTTTTAGCTAGCTTTTGGAAAGCTGTAATTGATGAAGCCTCCTGGGGAGACAGTTCCTGAAAGCAGCAATCACTGTGGAGAACCTGTGTCCCCGAGGCCATAACCCTCCTCACTTCCTGCAAATGGGCCATCACCTGTGACATCTCCTGGGGTAGACACTTCAGCTTTGTAGCACTTTCAGTTGCACTTGGGAGCGGATTGGCATCCCGTGCAGAGCCCAAGGAATTGCTGTAACGTGGTAATGGTGTTAAGAGCCTGAAAATGCACAGAATGTTTCATGTTGGAAAGACTCTGAAATACCCACCACGGAGGAATGGCAGGCGGAGATCACAGAATCTGCAGAGGTGGCAAAATTGACCTGTTTAATTAGAAAAAAGACAACAACTAGATTTGTCAGTGGCTGGAAACCCTTTAGGGACTTTTTGCTGAAAATGGGGGAAAATGTGATTTATGGGTTTGATGATCAGAAGGGGTAGATGATGGAAAAAAGGGAGTTATGGTGTAACCTTAGAGACAGAGGATAACGTTTGAATGCATTTATAACTGCTGTAAAGAATATCAGAAGCCATTTATTTTAATTTTGTCCTTTTTTTTGTCTTTTTTTCTATTTTTCTCCTTTTTCATTTCTTTTTTCTTTTCTCACCCCTTTTCTTTTACTTTTGAATGTTTTTATTCTGTAAAACTTTCTTCAAGAAAAATTAATTAAAAAAAAGAATGTTGCGTGTTGGCCCAGTTGCCCTTTCCAAGTGGGCTTCAAAGTCATTCCCCCGTAGGATGCCCTGCAGCAGCCAGGCAAGTGGTCATGAGGCCATGAGCAGTTGACTGAGGCCTCCTGTTCCACTTAGGGCCGTGGGCAGTGCACCAGCTGGAGCTGGGCAAAGGAAGTCCCGGCCACAGTCTCCCCCTGCCCTTCCAGCAATTGGATGAGTCCTTGAAGGCCCGCGGTCGTGGGCCTGTTCCCCCAGTGTCGTGTTTCCCCCTCGAGAGGTACGCTCTAGCTCTCAGAGAGCCATGTGCGCAAACCACAACGCATCTTGCTAGGATTCAACTTGAGCTTTTTCCCTCCAACAACCTCCAGGCCCTGGGACAAGTCTTCACGGTATCTCCAGCTGCCCCAGGGTATCAGTTGTAAATTGAGTAGTATCATCAGTGTATTGATGATACTACTCCCAAACCACCAGATAATTTCTTCCAGCGGCTTCACGTAGATGTTAAAAAGCAGAGGAGAGAGAACTAAACCCGGTGGCACTGCCACGCTGATCTCTCTTCCTCCACTACCATCCACTGGAACCCCCCTACTCAGGAAGGAGTAGAACCACTGGATAGCTGAGCCCCTAATCCCCAACCCTTGCTGGTAGTCAGTGGCATTGAAGACCAGTGATAGGTCTAGTAAGTCCAAGCATGGTACACCATTCCCATCCAGGCCCTGACAAGGGGTCACCAATGCGGTTTCAGTCCCATAGCCAGTCCCGAACACAAAAAGGATTGAGGTAATCCACTTCCTCCGGGGTGCTCCACAGCCATGTGCCCATCCACCCGCTCCTTGCCTAAAAAGGGAAAGTTGGAGACCAGGTGATAGTTGTCAAAAACAGCCAGATCCAAAAAAGGAATACCACATCCCTGCATTCTCCGTCAAGGCTCTCGGCAGCACCCCATTCCAAAGCAAGATATTGACCACACCCTGGATCCAGCCCATTGCACTCACACGCCGTCTCTGCACAGGAGCCAGGAGGGGTGTGGATTAGGGTGACAGTGGTGGAGGTCATCCTGGAGAACACTTAATCTGCTTCCCCGGTGAGCAGGCCAAATGTAGTCTCAGTGACCTCATCAGACGCTGCCTGCGTGGCATGAAGACTTCAGTGAATCTCAGCAGCTTTTTCAACAAAGTGCTGCGGAAGATGATTCTAGCAGCCAGCCAGGAGAGCTACCTGCTTTTCTTTCCCTAAGGGTAGTTTGCCCCCCTAAACAAGGCCACTGGCCAACCAAATAAGGGAGGAAAAGTCAAGATGCATCACCTTTGTTGGCCCTCCAGGAGTTGCTTCTGCTGTTTCATCCCTTAAAGCTCCTTGGTAAAACAAGGTACACCCTGCAATCAGCACCAGAGAGGCTGTCTGAGAGCTCTTCTGTTGAGAACCCAAGTCGCCTCTTGCCAGCGGGTGACTACCCACATCAATAATCAATCCATTGCTGCAAATCCAATTTTGATTTCTCCTTCCAGCACTGTTTAGTTAGTTCTTTTAACCAACTCCCTTTTGTGAACTCATGCAATATCTTGGCTTGAAATACAGTTTGCAGGCTTAGTTCATTCTGGTAAAACAGTCTCTGTCTTCTCCTACTCTGAAATGTCTCTGATTGTTCTCGTGTGTTGGCTTTTGTACCGAGGTCCCTTCAAATGCCTTTTGAGCTGCAGCCCCTTCTCCTCAAAGTCTTCTGTTAAGCCTCAGCCCAATCTTTTTGGCCCATTCAGAACGATACTCAGGTGTATCAAAGTGGCTTTACTTATTTTCCCTGTGCATCTTCTGACGAAGTTGGGTCTGCGGGCTGCTTGAAGCACGCACCTGTCTGAGCTGGTTCCATGAGAGGACTGCAGAAGTAACCAACCTTGTCTGTGTGTTGCAGGTACCACCGGTTTTGGAACGGGAACTGGAGGCCTCTTTGGTTCGACTCAGGCAACCCCCAGCCTCTTCAACAAACCTTTTGGTCAGCCCACAACAACCCAGAACACGGGTTTTTCGTTTACAAACACCAGCACCCTTGGACAGCCCAGCACAAACACAATGGTAAGGATGATCACAGCCTAGAAAGCTCTAGGTATGGTATGAGGAATGCTCCCTCGAGACACCCCTTTAGGGGTCAGTCCTGCAGTTTTTGTTGAACTCCCAGGAGTGCAGACCTTCATGTTTGCACTCAGTCACAGGGCAGCTCTTTTCAGGGGAGCCTAACCCGGTTGGGATAGAAGCGTTCAGAGTCTGAGGTGGGACTTGGCAAAAGGGAAGGGGTGCGCAGCTTTGTCATCTCCGAGAAGGGCCTGTGTCTCCAGGCCTGGTGGTGGGTGGGCTTCGTTCTCCAGGGCAGAGGCTTGCTGGTGGCCTCCGGTGACCTCCTGACCTCCCTTCATAAAGGGCTGGTTCTGGGCAGGCCCGAGTCTCCTCAAGGTAGTAGTAAAAACAAAGCGAGGCTTCCTGTTTAGCTTTGCCCAGCTCAGCTGAATCAGATCAAGCTCCAGCAGAGGATGGGTTCGTCGATGCGACAGTGTTTCACGGTCACTTTTGTCTGCTCGGCTTTTCCAACGGACATATACGTGCGGCCCACTTTCTCAACATTTCCTATCATTCCCAGGGCCTGTTTGGAGCCGCCCAGCCCACGCAAACGGGGGGCCTCTTTGGAACAGCTGCCAATACCAACACTGCAGCTGCGTTTGGAACAGGGACTGGTCTCTTTGGACAACCCAATACTGGATTTGGCGTTGGTGGCTCGGTACGTGGATTAAAAATGAGTTTTCTGAAGAGGGTGGAAGCTGCAGTTCTTATGCAAAGTTAAGCTTTGCAGGCATACCAATATTTATTTCTTGGTAGAATCGCCTGTAAAGGGGTTTCACGTTAGTCAAAGACACTCCCATCAGCTTTTGTGACAGGAAATGCCCTTCTCTGCAATTCACTCATGACCTCTATAAAGTTAAGAAGTAGCAGTAATAAGAAGAGTCTTGTGAAGTGCCCTCTTGACTCTGGGCCAGACCCAAGGAAGCTGTCCTTGACGTTAGTCAAATCCATACGATCTTCTGGTTGTTTTTCCCTGATGTCCTGGGGGGGTTATCTGGGGAAGATATTTATTTATTTATTTATTTTCTGTAGCCGCCCATCTCAACCAAGTTGCTGGCCAGTCCCCTCCCAGTAGCAGAATTAATCACTAAAAAAAGATCCTTTCGCCTGCAGAAAGGAAAACATTTGTCCTGGCTTCCCCTCCTTCAGTCAGGAGAAGATTTCTAGCGAGGACAAGGCAACCCGCGTCCCCTTGCATTGCTTGGCCCGTGTATCTAAAGGGCACCTTCTCTGGGAACTGTGACCGTGCTGGGGACAAAAGTAGAGCCCGTCTCTTCCTTTCTCCTCCCCTTTCTAGTTTTTGGCAGCCTAGGGGGCTTTTGTGCCAAAGAAAAGGGCAGCTGCTGTCTGACGTGACAGCCATCCTGCAGGAGAAGGCACTTCTTTTGAAAATCAGCTGACTGAGAAAAGACGCGGGTTGCTCTTTCTGGGTGCTTGTATTTTTGTAAAAGCTACTAGTCTTTTTTTCCTTTTATTTTCAGTCTCTGTTTAGTAACAAGCCTGCTGGATTTGGCACCACAACCACCAGTGCTCCTTCCTTCGGGACAACAACAAGTGGACTTTTTGGTAACCGACTAAACAGATATTTCTCACTTGGAATATCTCTCTGGGAGTGTTTCAGTCTGTTGTCCATTTCACCAAATGTAGCCCAGAGGCAGAATTGGGCTGAAAGGGCACAGGTTGCAAAGGGCCATCTGGTCTGGGGTTATAGGCAGGAATTTTGCATTTTGAGCTGTGAGGCGAGAATAGTGTGGCAGCTCTGACCACTGCTCTTCCCCCGCCTTTCCCAACTTGGGGGTGTGAGGGATCACTCCTCTTTAACCTTTGTGCGCCTGTAGGCTAAGAATTCTGGCAGTTACCTGTCGATATACCTGGAGGGCCCCGTGCTGGGAAAGGTGGGCTGACGGCTGGGTCTGTCCCACTCTCTCCATCGGTGCATGTCTGGACTTGAGCTTCCTAAAACGGCTGGCGAGCCAGAGAAAAGGGACTCAGCCTGCCGTGAAGTTTATGGGCTTTTTTATTGGCTAAACAAAGGCCTAGGGGATCCCTGGATCCTGCCAGGTGGCAGGATACCCGTGCACCATCTGCTCTGAGTCCAGGCCACGTGGGTAGCACTCTCAGAGGCTGTGGGACAGGGCAGGTTGGAAACTACGTTGGATTGGATTCCAGTCTAAATATTATTAGGTTATTCCTTGAATTTACAGTCAAAGACCCAAACGTTATTAAAGTTATGGGTAGTAGTTCTCTCATGTAGTTAATGATTTCCCCTTTTGTCACACTGAAAATTACCCTTGAGGCCAACCATGTTCTTGGAGGCCACATGCAGCCTCATGTTGTGTCTTCAGAAAAAAACTTGGCCAAAAGTTCCCCGCTTTTGTATAGTCCTAGTGGCACAATCAACAGACGTTCAGGTTGAATTTCAGAGAAGGCCATTAACCTTTCTTCTCTCATAGGGTTTAATGCGAACACCCCAGGAAATAGCTTGTTTGGGAGCAAGCCTGCAGCTGGAGCTCTGGGTCCAGGCCTCGGGACAGGATTTGGGACAGGTAGGATTGGGGAGTTACCAGCATGGGATGTGTAGTCTTCATTCCTTCTAGAAAGTTCTTAGCCAGTAGTTGGGGTGCCAGGGTTAGAGATGAGCAAAGCATGGTAATAATGAAACATAGATGTTGCCAGGCCATCCCAGTTCTTTCTCTCCATGGTGAACTTCTTCATCTGTTATTATTATCAATTATCAATGCACCCTTACCTTACACGTTTGTTCCAGTTCTTTGCCATTTTACTCAGACTGAGAGATTAAAAACTGGTTTCTGTTACATAAGGCAAAAAATGTTCCTGCAGAATCAACAGATTTTCTGTGATTTGAAGCCATTTATGATCCCAGTGTGATGGATTCCTTGTCAGCAATTATGTCTTAACACTTAGCTGACAGCCTGGCTTTTGGGGCTCATGATTCGTCTGTAGCAATTAGGAAAGCTCCCACTCCCCCACCCCGGCTTCCAGTTAGCTCTGTCGGTGGACGCAGAGAGTCAGGAAGATGACCTTGACGGGGATATGGAAAAGCCATTGCCTAGGCGAAAGGGGCTGAAACATTTTTTAAGTCCAGGACAACCAGAAAATATTTGGAAGCAGCTCAGACAGGCACCTCCCTGATTTACTGAACCATAAGGAAGGAAGAGGAGGAGGAGGTCCAGCACAATCAGACTTGCAAGATTTTGTTATCAGAGCCAATCTCAAAAGCAGTTTTAGCCTTCCTGTGGAGTTGATTGCATGGTCGGGTGAAAAGCTACACTACAGCTATCTTCCCATAGCTGAGAAGATTGCCAAGTTTAATTATGTCTATCCTTTTAAAAAGAAACCTGACAAAGCCAGCATTGGCTGGTAGAAGCATTTTTCCATCTTAAGACCAACAGTGCTTCTCTCTGAACTGTGTTGGGAAGGGCTGAATGCATTGGTTATTGCTGGTTGATCACAGTCTCTTTCCCTGACCCTTCTGTTTCCCTCCCCTTCTTCTGCAGCCCTTAATGCAGGACCAAATTCACTGTTTGGGAGCACGCAGCCCAAACTAGGGGGCACGCTTGGGACAGGGGCATTTGGTGCCCCTGGATTTAATACATCAACAGCCACTCTGGGCTTTGGAGCTCCACAGCCTGCTGTGGGTAAGTTGCTTAAAACCCAGTCTTTGGGGTGGGAAGGGGCTCAACTTGGTTCAGTCTAGGCTTGATTGACTTCTCTCTGATAGTCAGTTCAGATGTGCAACAAGAAACCACCCTATCGGTGTGTGAGGATTGCCTCCAGGTCCCCTTCAGTTTGTCCTCTGCCAAAGGATAAGGGAGAGATGTATGCCTCAGAGTAGTGCTCGTGCAAGGGTGGGGCAACGTAGAAGAGACTGTGCTGTTGGCCAGCCCCACCTTGTGATTCTCAGATGTTGCATAGTGGTGTCAGCTGAGAGCATCTGCAGGTTTCTTTTGGATTAGTGAGAACTTAATTTTTTTCTTTTGCATGTGAACTTAGTAAGATCACATGGATCTGTCAACCTGCTGTTTTGGATCTTCTCAAATGATTTTCTGATTTTTTAACCTTCCACCAGATGGGAGTGTCTTAAAACTGTTTTCAGGAGGGCAAGTGGTGAGGGCATTAGGCAGCAGTTTAGGTAAGTCCCATTGAAAGTGCCAAGAATGCTTTACGGCCTTCGGGCAGTTCTTAGGGCAATAGCCTGTCTCGTTGTTATCCAGAGTGCATTTTATTGTTACTCCCAAATCAAAGACTAGACCGTGGTGAGTTTGCTATATGCTTCATTTGGGATTTCAGCTGAGCATCGCAACAGTGAGTTAGTGTACGAACTGCTCTCTCCAGAGTGCTCTGCACAGCTTGCCCCTTGGTGGCACCTGGACCGACCGTAAAGAATAGGGTCATACCTGTTGAAAATGGTTTGGAAGAAGAAGTGCTTCGGGCCTGCATGAGCCCAGTGCTGTTCTGGGTTTCGTTAAAGCAGAAATCTTCAGGGACTAACAGAGTGGCACTGTGCCCACTCAAAATCATTTCTGAAGGTGCGCTATCCTAATATGGAGAAAGACTGAATTTCATTCCCCCTAGTGCTCTGTCCTCTATGGGTGTAGGCCATGGTGAGGGCCATACTTTAGAGGAGCAGCAGGTCAGGGGTGCACCTGCCCATCCAGAGGAGAGCATCATAAACAGCAATGCCCTTTGTTTGCCTTGTGTTGTGATGATGGCTTATGGCTCACACACAGGTTCCTTAACCTGGTGTCCCAAGATATGCTGGACTACTGTTCTTACCATCCATTGACCACATGGCCAGGAGACCAGGTTGAGGCAGCTTCTGTGTACCTCTGATAGGCAGAATAAGGGCACTTTCCACTCCTGCCGGGGATTCTCTACTGCCACTGCGACTATCCCGTCAATGCCACTTGGCTGGCATTTTGGTAGCCCGCAGGGTTTGGGCTGTAGTATGTCCAAATCCATTTTGTGGGGCATTTCGATAGTGTGTCTTAGTAAGGTAGCCTCCACAGCTGGTTTTGGCATGCTCGAAGGCCTCCCCCCAGAAGCAGCTGGAGGTTGGCTGTCAGCCGTTCATCTCTCCCTCCCCTCTGTCAATGCTGTCAGTTGCTGCAGCTGTCAGAGGAGGGCACCTTTGCCTCGTCATCTTCAGTGGCATTCTGTGGGCCAGCAGGCTGACCCTTGGCTGCCTTTTCCCTTCAGCTTTGACAGATCCCAACGCCTCTGCGGCCCAGCAAGCCGTTCTGCAGCAGCACCTCAACAGCTTGACGTACTCGCCCTTCGGGGACTCCCCTCTCTTCCGAAACCCCATGTCTGACCCAAAGAAGAAGGAGGAGGTAAGGCAAGGGGGGCAGGGGGCATCGTCTCTGGACAGACATAACCAAGAGGCCTGTGACTTTAGGGTGCCTATGTCAGGGGCCTCCCCCCTCCCTCCCCATTTAAAAACCTTTTGGGAGGGAGTTCGGGGAGTTGCAGTCTTCGCACGTCTGGAGGATCAGCTGGGGAAGAAACAGGACAGCCAGGGATTGCAAGGAACCCCATCCTGCCATGCATAATTACGAGAGGGAGCCAGGTCAAAACCCGTGTCAAAAGCAGACTCTGAACATCACAGCTGCTGCCAGCAAAATGCTTGAGATAGCACCAGCTGGAAGGATGGCTTGTTGGCAGCAGACCCGTGATGGTTTGGGGAAGGGCTGAGTACGTCACGCCATAGATCCTCCTCGGGACACTTGGGTTTTAGAACGAGCAGGAGCTCCTTATGCCCTGGCATTTATCCAGGGGACATGCCTGTTGCCTTCCTTTGTCTTGGGGAAAAGTCTGGGGATAGAAGTGGAGAAAATCAGACTTGGACAATTGCCTCATTTCTTTGCGGGGGATGAGCAGCAAGTCAGCAGTTTAAACCTGAATTCGTTCTGAGTTGGAGAGGACCATCGTCCCCACGTGGCAACACTTGTTCTTTTTCAGAGGCTGAAGCCAACCAATCCGGCGGCCCAGAAGGCCCTGACCACACCAACGCATTACAAGCTGACTCCCCGCCCGGCCACTCGTGTGCGCCCAAAAGCTTTGCAGACGACCGGCTCCTCCAAATCCCATCTTTTTGACGGTCTGGATGACGACGAGCCATCCCTGTCCAACGGGGCCTTTATGCCCAAGTTAGTATTATGTTGTCTTTGCGTTTTGCACGGAAGGGGATCTGGGGAACCTGCTGATCTGAACAGAATTCCTCTTCTGGTTCTTGAGGGTCTCCAGTTGTCGTAGTCTGAGATTCCTCTAGAGCAGGGTTCCTCAACCTCAGCAACTTTAAGATGGGTGGACTTCAACTTCAACATGGCTGGCTGGGGAATTCTGGGAGTTGAAGTCCACCCATCTTAAAGCTGCTGGGGTTGAGGAACCCTGCTCTAGACAGCCTGGCTCTGTCACAGGCATGAGTGCCTAGGCAGTTCCCTTGATTTCACTCAGTGACTTTTAAAGAGTTTCCTCAAGCTCCACTGTCCTCCTGGGTTTATTTACAGAAGCTAGGAATTCCTGTTTTATTTTATTTTATTTTATTTTATTTTATTTTATTTTATTTTATTTATTTATACAATTTATATAAATAAATGGGGTACTGAGAACTCTGTGCTTTCTTAGCCTTCTCTCATTGAACTGTAATTCCCAGGATCTCCTGGCAAGGTCCAGCTGAAATTGAGCTGGCATGCCTCATCCTTTGCCTTTCTCCTTTTTGTTTAATCTGATGCTCAGAATAAGTACCCACAAATTAGGAACTGAGGTTGATGACTTTATCCTCTTTTAGACTTGTCACCTTCTGCCAAAAAAAGAGCCGTGGTAACAGTGACCCGGCTGGAATTACGTGCAAGGGGAAGGTCACAATCTGCTGGGGACTGTGGTTTCACGGGATAACCTCATGTATGTTTGTGTGTGTCTCTCTCCCCCCCCGCAGGAGGAGTATTAAAAAGCTGGTTCTGAAGAACCTTAACAGCAGCAGTCTCTTCTCTCCTGCCAGTGCTGAAGTTGATGACATTGCCTCGCCATCTGTGTACCCTGAGAATGGGGATCGGTATGTCTGCCTCCCCCATCTCTGCTAGGTTTCTTTCTGACATGAGCAAGACTCATTTTAAAAAAGTAGCTCTAGCTCCAGTTACTGAGTTTAACCATTTGCAGTTCTTCTACCTGTGAAGCTAGAAATACCGTGTCTAATTTCAAGCTGAATGCTACATCTGTGGGAAGAAGGGAGGCAAAGAACTCCTTACATTGGAGTAGTAAGAAGGAAATTTGCTTCCACTAGTTGCTACTGTCCTGATAGCTGCTTGGTGTTGCAGCATGATAAATTATGGACAAAGCACGCTGGTCTGAACTCCTTAGCAGGAGGAGTTGTGGCCAGAGTTCTGATGGAAGTCCCCTGAACCTGGGCCTGCGTCCTCCATTATGAAAATTCCCCACTACAAATTGACTTAGAAAATCACAGCCATTGCCAGATCCTGTGAACTGGGAATTGCATTTTCCATGGCAAAGTGGCCGGAAAGGCAGCTTGCACAACTTGCTCACTTATGGAGATGAATCTTGCTCGGGTTTCTGAGGTCTTGCTGAGCATAGCCTTGGCCATTCATCACTATTTAGCAACTGCACTTGAAGTTGCTTCTCGTTCTGCTTATTTTTAAAATTATGCACCACCCTTTAAAATAATTATTTATTTGTAAGTTCTATATCCCATCTTTCATTCTGGAGCTAAAGACAGTGACCATAGTGTTCCCTTCTCCTATTCCTTCCCCCCTCCCCCGGGAGCAGCCCTGTGAGGTAGATTAGGCTGGGAGAGAGTGCATCAAAGTCACCCAGGGAGCTTCCATGGCTGGAGAAGGGGGTGAATCTGGGTCTCCCCATCTTAGTCTCAAGCCTTCATCACTGCACTCTCTCGCTTCCTCCACTTCCCCAGCCCTAACGACCCTGGTATAATAAGATCTCCAATGCCTTCCACCCCCAGTATGATTTATATGGGGACAGTTCATAACCAAACGTGGTTGATATTGGACAGACTCCATTGTGAAGTGCAGTCATGCATGGTTTGTTTCACAAGCCGCGCTGGTGGGGTTCAAATGAAGTTCTAAGCCGAAGCAACAGCAGAACTCTCGTCACGGCGTAGCCCGATGTGTCAGTGACTCCGTCCGAATATTTTGGCGCTTTGTGCACCAGAGAGCTGATCTTATCGGCCTGACTGCTAAGCCAGGCTAAAAGCTTATTTACAGAAGAATGGAAGTGAAATTCTCAGTAGAGATTAGAGTGATTGGGAAATTACTTTTTTTTTTCAGAGCATGATTGCTTTCAGAAAGTGCATTTTATTTGTTTAATGAGCCTGTCATTTTAAAAGCTGTTACACAATTAGTTTTTTAAAATAGTTTCCTCAAGCTATGCTTACACTGGCCCTGCAGGACTGTATGTAAGGCCAGAATTGTTGTGGCCTTACCTGGGTCTGTCTTGTAATCAGTGATGATCAAATGAGTCTGGATTCTTTTACATTTTTAGTTCCAGAGGAAAAAAATCCTACTTCTCTTTGCATGCACTGTTGTTCCATGTTCAGCGTATGATGTAATTATCTCGTTCCCACATAAATAATTGTTTATATTCACTGAAGGTGAGGTAGCCAAATACTTTACCATATATCACAAGGAGTTTGACTCTTCAATGCAGTTTTTCGGTTCTTTTCCATATTATGGGTACACATTTCCCAGAAAGACTTGAGCTTACACTGTAGATATATCATCACATAAAAGAGGCATTGTCCGAGACTGAAAACTCAGGCCAATGAAATCAGTTCTCCTCCTCCTGTGACATGTGGCAGAGTAACTTTCTTTAGAAACGACGCTTTCTGTCTGCCTGCCTGCTTGCCTGTCTTAGATTCAGTCTCCTCTTTAGGTCAGTGAATGAGAACCACAGGCAGGATGAAGAGCAGGAAGACGAGAGCTACCCTCGTGACATATCCAGGTATTTTGCCAATTCCGTTGCCAAGCCCATCCCCCAGACTCCAGAGAACGCCATGCACAAGCATCACAGTAACAGCGTGGACGACACCATCATGGCCCTGAATGTGCGACCGGCGCTGCGGAATGGACTGGAAAACAGCACGGAGGACGCTTCCTATCACGAGGAGTCCCTGCAGGAGGACCAAGACGAGGAGACAGAAGGCCAGCTCCGCAGCGCCCATCCAGCAGGTCAGGTGCAGGTTCTCCCAGGGTTCAGCTTGCTGTCCCTTCCTTGGTCACCCAGGAAGAATAATTTTCCTGCAGACCATCATTGACCTTCAAATCAGCTGTCAGCGATTGGGTGGTTGTCCAAATAATTGAGCTGGTATTCTGAAAACTAAACCAAGTTGTGATTTGTGGCCCAAATCTGTGCAGGCATCAGGTATTTGTAGGTCTGTTCCAAGGGGCCAGAACCAACCTATGAAATTTCAGCTTGGATTGACGGATCTTCCTAAAGAAAGCCCTTCTCCGGATCACCCGGCTGTGGCTGTCAGAAGACTAGTTTTCTGTACTGGCACACAGCCAGTGAGCTTATCTGGAAAATACCTTCTCTCCCAGGCCCCTTCCATGCCCTTACCCAAAGCTGTAGCTGAACCTGTGCCAGCAGATTATTAGAGCAGAATGCCTTTGAATCAGATTCAGTCCTTATAGGCAAGTTCAGCGTTTTGTTCATGTGCTCAGAGATTGCGTTGCTGTATGCGGTTTGGCGGAGACCTTCACTCAGATTTTGGTTTTTCCAGGAATTGTCTTGACACGAGTTGGGTACTACACCATTCCCCCCCTGGAAGAGTTGGCCAAAATGACCAATGACAGAGGAGAGTGTCTTGTGACAGACTTCACTGTAGGCCGTAAAGGTGAGGATCAGAACAGCTTCTACAGTTCACTGTTGTCAATTCATCTGTTATTGCGGCTGAGAGTTCATGGCTATTATAGGCCACTTGGCTTTCTAAAGTACTGAACAGTTGAAAGGTTGCATTTCAAGGTTAATGCAGGTTTGTTCACGTCACCCTGAAATCGGTAATTTCATAGAGTCTGAAACCCACCAATTCTTCTGTGGAATAAAGGAGGGAAATGCAACAGAAGCCCCTGTTGTCCTAGAGTCATTAGGTGGAAAAATGGCACCGTTAACGCCGTGCTGGAAATAGGCAAACCCAAAGCTGTTTTCATGGGAAAGGTCTTTTTTGTGCCTGTACAGCCAGATGCGTTGCCATTTATGTGCACAACACATTGTGCTGCTTGAGCGACTAGTACACTTCATTACAATGGTCCGGGGCGGCCAGTTAATGGTGGGATCCTCTTCTTCTTAGGCTATGGCTCCATCTACTTCGAGGGGGAGGTCAATCTGAGCAACTTGAATCTGGATGAGATTGTGCATATCCGCAGGAAAGAAGTAATTGTCTACCCAGATGATGAATTGAAGCCCCCCATTGGGGAGGGCTTGAACAGGTGATGCCGGGAATCTTTTATTCTCCTTATTTATCCCAACACCAGCTGGGAAAGGCTATTTTACCCCACTGTTAGCTCCTGCTCGGTGGCAGGGGACATGCTGCTGGAACCCCCCCCCCAAAACACACACACACACTTCTCCCTCAGATTATCTTCATTTCAGGCCTCCACATTTCTCTCTTGAACAGGCGAGCTGAAGTCACATTAGATGGGGTTTGGCCCACTGACAAAACCTCACGTTGCTTGATCAAGAGCCCAGAACGGCTGGCAGAAATGAACTACGAAGGCAGACTGGAGGCCGTCTCTCGGAAACAGGGAGCCCAGTTTAAAGAGTACCGCCCTGAAACTGGTTCATGGATATTCAAGGTAACATCCTCTTCTGGCGAACAGATCAGGAGCATGTTCCGCACTGGAGCCAGGTCCCCCATCCTGTTTAAAGACCCTAAGGAGCAGGCAAGATAAGGGCCTCCGTCACATTTGAAAACACAAATTGCTGTTGGCTGTAGGTGAATCTTAGAGGGTGACAGCAGTGAATGGGAATTAACGGGCAGGACATTGTTTTCATGTGAGAATAATCTGTTCTTGATCTTCTGATTTGTAAAATACGGCTTTTTTCTCTGTCCAGGTGGCTCACTTCTCAAAATACGGCCTGCAGGATTCTGATGAGGAAGAGGAAGAGAACCTAGCAAAAGTGGAGTCCAAGAAATTAAAAACTGCTCAAGTACCCCTGCCAGGTCAGCTGGTGACTCAGCAAATGGCTGCAGTTGGGAAGCTGGCACCTCCTTCCAAGGTAGAAAACATTGCCCTCCGTAAAGGCCCTGTTGAAATAAGTCCAGCCATAGAGCAAAGTGTGCGAAGATGAACCAGTTAAAAATGGTTTCCCTGGAGATGATCCTGTCCCTTTTTCCCCTTTGCACCCCAAAGGGCATTTGCTCTGGTCCCCCCACAGAGAGTGAAGAGAAGACAAGGCATAAAACTGGTCTGCTGCATTCCTTTTTCAGAGCCCGGATGGGGAGGACAGGGCAATGAAGGGGGGCTTAGAATTAAGTCACGGTGCACCAGCAGGGTTTGCTTGTGGAGAGAAATGAAGAGGCCTCTGAAAAAGCAAAATCTGGGCATTTGGCTCTGAAGTAGTACTGTTTTCAAAGGATAATGGCAGTCTAGGTAGGACTGTTGTTTGCCTGTTTCTGCTTTTTGCCTGTCACGGATGTGTTGTGACAGAGTTTTGCATGCCAAAGTGCTCTTGCCATCTGTACAAGCTGCTTGGTCCCTAACCTGGAGTCGGAAGGGGGAGAAATAGTGATTTATTGATGATATCCCCTGTTCTGTAAAGATAGAGAAACACATCACAAGAACCTCAAAATGTATGCTAGAAAAACTCATCTTGGAGCAATGTTGCTGTGTTCTCCATTTTTGTTTAGAGATACCATTTCAGATGAGTTTTGGATTTCTAGAGCAAGAGCAGGAGCAGGCACAAACATAAACTCAGACAACTAGGTCCATTCACTCGATTTGGGTTTTGTATGAAAGGTAGCCTTTCCAGCACTACTGGCTTAGGTAGCTCCTTCTGAAGTGGGAGAACTCACAGGAGGAGGTGGCTGAGTGCTTTCTTTTAAAAATCCCACTGGATCCCGGGATGACAGCAGGTTGCCACCATGAGGCAATGGCTACCACGCCCAGTGGTACAGCAGATGCAGTGTCAGGATGTCAGTTGCCCAAATAGCTTCATCCTCTTTTCCACACCCATCACCTGAACAGGGTCTTGAAATTCAGCTGAATGAAGGAGACATTGTGGTAGCAGCACAACCCTGTGCATGGTGACATTGCACCACAACATTGTCTCTGGGCAGACTCATGGACACTTGCTTTGCTAGCTCAGCAGCTCCACAGGACAGGGTCCTTGGCTGAATCTAGAACTGGTACGGGGCATCTGGGCATCGTGTGGGCCTCCCAGAGCACAGGGCTACTATTGCGGCTTGCGTCCACTGACTTTTGCAGAGTCCAGAGGCTGACCATCTGGGGAAGATTGTAGAATTCGACAGCGATATGGCAGACATCACCCAAGAGCTCCTTCAGGATTCTGTGGTAGAAGAGAACCTAGTGGAAGAACAGGAACCAGTACCAGCCTCGATGCATATCGCATCCTCCCTGGACATCAACCCCCATGCGCTGCAGGTGAGTCCTCCTCCAGGTGTCCCATGGGGGGAGGGCCCATGTTGCATTTGGGTGCTCCCCCCTCTCTGCCCTGAAACTGCTTTAGTTTCCTACAGAAATTTCCTTTTGAAATGAGATTCTTCCAAACAGGAGTAGCAGGTTCTTTTTCCATTTTGCTTTGGCTTTTTATCCAAGAAAAATTAGAATATTAATTTAATATTAATAATAAGTTAAAATCCTGCGTTGCCTTAAAAGTTCAAGTCAGCCATCAATCTAAAATTTATATTAAGGAAAACACGCACAGAGTTAAAAGCATAAAAGCAGCAAGATTATGCATAAAAGAAAGGCGATATTCAGGCAGGTAGCTAAAGATAAGTCGTTGAAACATCCAAACAGGAAAGCAAGTTTAGGAGCAAATCCCACTTTGAATTCAGAACTTTTGAGAAAAGAAAGGTCTTTCTCAAGAGGAGAAGGGGATCTTCCCACCCAAATCTTCAGCAGGAATCACCGGACCCAGATAAGGATCTTCTTCAACGGGTACTCTCTGGTTCAGATGAGATCTTGTAATGCAGAATAGAATTATGTTCACTGTCCTTACTGTGCTCTCAAATATTCCATTGTCAACCATAGTTATTTAACAAGGATGCCTAAGAATAATCTGGTGTTTGAGCATAAAATATAAAATGTGGCTTGCCTTTGAAATCATGAGTTGTCTTCGATGCCTCCGGGAAAACCACAGCTGGTTGCTGACTATGTCAGATTGTTTCCGATCCATCCCATATTCAGAACTTCTCACTGGACTTTACTAATTTTTTTCCAATATTTCTTTATAAACAGTCATGCTTTTAATTTTGCATTCAGTCTTTTGCCATGTGAATGCTTGGCTAGACTTGAAACATATGTGAAACAAACAGGTCTTTTTCAATGTGCACATAGACAAACCAAAAAAATACATTCTGTTCTGTATAGAGCAAACACAGCATGGCTCGGAGTCCCCTCCCCCCAAATTCAGGGTGCTTCTGGGGTGAGTAGGGCAAGGCTGGAGTATGTGGTCCCCACGGTGCCCTCACAGCCTGCATGCCCACCCCCACATTTCCCAGTCTTCTGTTTTCCCTGTCACTCCCATCCCCCCCCCCAATCTTCCCCGCTTTTACCAGCCAGGCCTCCCCTCCCCTCTTTGCAGCAAAAACACTTTCTGTGTGCTGCTGCCTCCAGAACTCACAACCTCGGGGCTGTGTCAAGATGGAGTACAGGTTTTGGTTCAGACGTGGATCACCTGAAACAAGCTGTTCTGTGCATTATTATGTTCATGCACAAAGCATTATGCACATTCCCACTCTCATTCATTCTTGGGTCTCCGAATTACCTAATCATGTACCGTGGTCTGGTTCATACCAAAACAGCACCAAGGTGGGGCAACCCTGAGTTTCAGGGCTAAGTTGGTGTTTATGTCACCACCCTTGCCTGCCTTCTTCAGTGTTGCCTTCGTACTCCTCTACCTCCGCCTTGCAAGGCAGCATACTGTTGCTCCTCCCCCTCTATCTTGGAAGTCCACGCAGTGAATCAAATAAATACATTTAAATAAATTCAGCAGGTTTTAAATACCTTTTTGTTTACCCAGTCCCATGTACTGATAGGAAGAAGAGCACGTGCAGTACCTTTGCTTTCGTCTTCTTTCCAGGTCATGAAGGCATCTTTGCTTGCAGATGAGGAAGATTTGGACTTGATGACAGATCACCCATTTGGCAGTCAGGCTGAACAAATGGATACTTCGCAAGAGATCTGCTCTCCAAGACTTCCCATCTCCTCCTTGACCCGAGGATGGAAAAGCCACCCCCCAGGTGCAGTCAAACACCCAGGCCAGGAAGGACTTGGAATGCTAAACGCTGCTTAAGACAGATCAGCTGGGCTAATTTAGGGTAGAGCCCAGCAGATAATGACAACGTCCAGGTGCTGCTGGATCTTTTGATTCCTCTGTAAGAATAGAATAACATAGAGGCCATTCTGTACTCACAGTTTACAGGTAGTCCTCACTTAACAGCATTAATTGGGACTGGAATTTCCATCACTAAGTGACATGGTCGTAAACCGTCACCACGTGACCACACCACTTAGCAACAACGGTCCCACCACTTCCGGTTGCCATTGTTAAGCAAATCCTGTGCTGTCATTAAGCGCAGTGTCACCTGGTCGCCATTTGCAACCTCCTGCTGGCTTCCCTGTTGACTTTGCTTGTGGGAAGCTGGCAGGAAAGGTCGCAAATGGCGATCACGTGACTGTGGGACACTGCAGTGTCGTAATTGCAGGTGCCCAGATCGCGATCACGTGACCGCGGGGACACTGATGGCTGCAACTAGGAAAACCGGTCGTAATTACCACTCGTTTAGCGCCGTTGTAATTTCAAACAGTCACTGAATGCATGGTCGTTAAGCAAGGACTACCTGTAGTCATGGACAGATCTCCAAGTAGCTCTGGTAGGTATAGAAGCAGCTAAAGAATATGAAAGAAGAAGTAAGATTGCTTGGAGCACCTATGCCAGTGAGAACTTGATGATTCCACTGACCCACCAGCATCTAGCTGTCCACCAAGGCACGCCTGCCGATGCACGTGCCCCCAGATGGCCACAGCCTGTGCCCTCCAGCTCCAAGGGCAGCATCAGATCCGGTGGCTTCCTGCCCCGGGTGAGGGCTGGTTCTCAGATTGAGGAGGGGTCATTAACCATTTCTGTGTGCAGCTGGCAGCCCTCCTCTCCTTTATATACTAAGAGCCTGGGAAAGAAGGAGGTTCTGACAGCTTGGCTTTGCCTACAAGTACGTTCTTATTGAAGGCAAAGCCCTCACTGGATTTCTTGCATTTTTATTTTAACCTTTGTGCTAGTCAGTACTGTTAATTGAGCATCAGGAGACTTGTTCATTGAATTGTTTCTAGTCCTGGCTGTTGCTAAAGAAATCTGAAACCCACCCCGCTCAGCCTCATAGGAAATGGTCCCCAGCTCTGCCAGAGGTCCCGGCATGTGGACACCCGTGAGCCTTCCCCAGAGTCATACAGCCAGCTGTCCTCAGCACCCCAGAGGGAGCAGAGTTGGCCCCCTTGCACTGGGGAGCAGAGGGGGAAAGCAGGGCCTGTGTCACTGTGTTCTCCCACAGCCGGGCACTCTCCTGGCAGACTTGCTCCATCCCCCCACAAGAAACTAATGATGTGGGGCACTTTGCAGAGGAAGAGGTGGCTTCCCTCCTAGGATGCTCTGTCCTAGAGCTGCTGTGGGCATTGCCTTTGGGAGGGTCTCCCATTCCTCTCCTGCTCTGCGCGGTGGGTTTCCATTTGCATCCCTCTGTGGGGAGGGATCCCCACTGTCTGCTGCCAGCACATACATTTCAGTGGTGTTCTGGCGGGCAGGTGATGGCATTGAGGGAGCTCGGCCCCCTCTGGCTCTCAGGACAGAAAGAAACGACAGTCCAGCCAGATGGCCTTCTGGCTTCTGTGGATGCCGTCTGCCTGTCCCCAGAGCTGGGGGAGTCTCCTCCTCCAGAGGTGCAACCGACCCCTCTGTTAAGGCTGGGGGGGTCTGTCCCCAGTGGCTTCAGGAAGCCTCCTTAGTGGAGGTTGGTGAAGGCTGGCCAGGCACCCCGACGCCGCTAATGGGACCTTCGAGGCTGACTAGTGTTTTACGTCACTCCTTTTTCCCTTTTTTTTTAGTTGCTTCCCCGGGTGGTTTACAGCATATTAAAATTTCTGAATAAAACCAGGATACCCAATAAAACACACACACGCTGATTCTATAATTAGTTTAGTTAAAAGTTTCGGTGTAAGGTGTACACTTAAAATCAGTATATTAGAGCATGAGAGAGTGTAAAAAGGGCTGCGTTTGGTGTCAGGTGTGTGTTCATTGCACGGTGACCCTAGGAAAAGCAGGGTGCGCTGCCAGAGAAGCATCCAAGTAGGGTTTCTGAAAGAGCCCCTGGTCCGTTGAAAGCTGGACTGGGAATCGCGCGACGCCCGTGGGGGCCTGACAGCTGCTCTCGCAGATTGTGGCTGCGGCTGTTGGGCCTCCCAGTCTGCGTTGTGCCCTGTGTGACTGCATTATCCCCTTCCATCAATGGCATAAAATAGGAAAGGGCAGTTCAGAAGAATGCCTCTTCCAGTCTGCCTGGGGGTGCGTGTGGGGTGGGAAGATGGGCGTTGTTCGCCAGCAGCAGGCGGGTCCGTTGAGAAGAGGCAGCTGCCGAGACCCGCTGCTGCTCCTGTTTCTTAAGCCTTACCTTTGACTTCCTAACAAAAGCTTTCCTCCCGGTTTGCAGTCAGCAGGTTGCTGCAGTCGAGACTCTCCGGCGGCTCTTTCCTGCTCCCAAACGCTTCCCTCCAGGACCGCCGCAGTCCAAGGACCTCCTCCCTGGGTGGCGCTCTGCCTGCCCCACCTTGGCCTGTTCTTTCTCCCCTGGCCTCTGCCTTCGTAGTGCCGCGCTCGGCACCTGAAGTGCCCCTGAAAACCGTGGGCGTCCGCAGGCATCCGGGGCTGGTGCCCCTGGAAAAATCAGTGGCCCATGGGAAAGGAAGGCTGCTGAAGGACATGGCACTCTTCATGGGTCGCTCCTTCCGTGTTGGCTGGGGGCCCAACTGGGTTTTGGTCCACAGTGGAGACCGGATGAGCCCGTCGAGTGAGCCAGAAGACCCCCACGGGGAGTCGGCAGAGTACGGATTCTTGCCAGCCCCCACAACTCCGAAGCAGTAAGGCGTTGTTCTGTAATCCTGGGGTTTTTCTGTGGGAAAGAGCATCACTGGCCCAGCATATATAGTAGGGACGCTCTGGGTGCCAACCTCAAGGGGGGTGGCTTTTCTCGTAAAATTGGACCATACCATTTTCTGGTGGGCTTTTGAGGAAGTCGTGGGGCTAAATGTATTGACTGATCCTAGAGAAGAGAGGAAATCCCCCGACTCCTTTCCAGGCCTCTGCTTGGATTGGGATTGGCTGAGGGGTGGGTGCAAAAGGCCCTGGCGGCCTCAGTGCTCTGCACTTGCCCTTGCTGGCCCTTGCAGTGCTCTTCTTTGAGCACCTCTTGAGAGAGCACTTTCCCAAGCCGAGTCGTGTATGACTGACTGACTGACTGACTGACTGACTGACTGACTGACTGACTGACTGACTGACTGACTGAGGGCTTCATTCCAGTCAGTTCCCACAGGCTCTGAGCAGCCAAGCAGCATAACCTTGAACCAGAAGAGAACCATTCAGTCATAACAGGCACCAGCCTGATGCTCTGCTCTTTGGGGATAGAGTGATATCCACTTGTGCCCAAATGCTCTTCCGAAGTGGCTGATTTTCACTGCTCTTGGGAAGCAGACTAAGGGAGGGGTGGGTGGTCTGGATGTCCAGTGATAGGCAGTTCCAAGCAGCTTAGATGGGCAGCTGTCTGTGCATGGGTTGGGGTTTGTCTGTCAGCCCTCTAAATTCTCTGCAGCAGCAAGAAAAGTTTGGAGGAGGCAGCCCCTGATCACCTGTCTTCTGTATTCCTGATACCTTCACAGGGTCTCTGAGTCCCCCTTCAAGGTTCACATGGAGAAACTGACCTTGGAAGGAAAGACAACTGATGGGAATCTCCGTGTGTACCTCCTTCCGTTAGAGATCAAGCTGAAACACAGCACTGTCCACCTGGATGATCTCTGCCCCTTGCTGACCCCCAACCCTGGCGTAGCAGCCATCCATGAATATGCCGGATGGGCCACAGAGGTGTGTGAAGACGCAGAAGAACAAGAAGGTGAGTGTTTATAAACAAGGGGGAGGGTGACGGGAGGATTCTGGAAGGTAGCCTACTGCCAGGGTCCTCTCTTGCCAAGTGTGGAGAGAGCTGGGTGTGGAAGTGAGCAAGGCAAAGGAGAACACAGCAGCAGGGTCCCCTTTCTGGCTTTGACCCAGAGAACAAGTGTGATCTGCCGAGAAGTTTTGTAGGGACAAGTCCAGAATTGTCCAGATAACATTCGGAAGTGACTCAGGCAGACGCCTCCCTAATTCACTGAACTATGAGAGGAAGAAGGAGGAGGTCCACCAAGAGTTTGTTCTTAGAGCCACTCTCAATAAAAGTAGTTTTAGCCTTCCTGTGGGGCTGATGGCACGGCCTGATCTACCTAGTGGGACTGACATCAATCTTGCAGGTTTCTGCCAGAGCTGCTTCTGAATGTTCTCTGGACATTCTGGACTCCAAACATGTTTTGCTCCTTGTCATCTTGGCAGTGGGGCTCGCACACCTCGTCAAGGTCATCTTTCTTTCTTTCTCCAGATTGGCAGCCGGGTTGTTTTAAGCTTTCAGCAGTAGTTCCTCCAAGGATGAGCAAGAACCTTGCAAAAACCAACTGGGAGTAGGGGTGTAGGGAGTAGGAAAACAGGTTCGAACGCTCAGTTAGCTTGCCGAGTCCAGCTCACAGTAAGGAGCTGAAAGTTATCTGTGAAGTAAAATCTCTGGGAATGGCAGGTCCAAGCGGCATGGCCAAAAGCCAAAAAGAACGGAGGATTTGGCAGGAATAGCTGAGATCACATGCTGAAGGCTGCTGCCTGCTGTTCTTTCCCCAGCAGTGGTGAAAGACTGGGGTCTCGTGTGGACCCTGTGCGAGGCGCTCTGGGGCCACTTGAAAGAGCTGGAGGTCTGCTTGGAAGCGCCCAGTGAGTACGTGCTGCTGCTGGAACGCAGGAAGGCCTTCTCTCGCTGGCTGTCACAGACTGCGGCAGAACGGGTCCAAGAGGAGGTATCACTCAGCCAGAACAACAATCCTGCAGAGGCCGTCTTCAGTTACCTTACCGGGAAGCAGATCGGCAATGCTTGCCGTCTCGCTCAACAGTCTGGTAAGGCCATGGGTTTCTCCACAGCTTTTGACCTCGTAGGAGGGCGTTGCTTCAGCAGTTCAGTGTGCAGAAATACTCAGCAAATTGCCCGAGGGTGGCGGGCACCCCGGAAGCTGAAGCCTGGATCACAGCATTTTAAACGCTGCCTTGAGAAGCCTGAGCGAAGGGTTGTGGGTTTCCCCAGTTCCTGATACCCAAATTTAGCTTTTGGCTGTGCAGGGGATTGGATGTGCCTTTCAGCCACCTAGGAAAGTTCTGCAAGGCTTGTACAAAGAAAATGCAGCATCTCATTGGGAGCTCTTCCCAAGCCCCTCCCACTGGCCTGCCTCCCCCGTTCCCCAGAGAAGCCCCTGCCCCCTAGGCTGGCCTCTTGCCCTGCCAGAGGAGCAGTAAGAGGGCAAATGCCTTACCCTGATGGACGATTACACACAGCACTGTCCAGGTAAAAGTCGGCCAGCCAAATAGTGGCTCACAGCAGAGGATTATCTTCCTGTATGCACAGGTTCCATCCGCCCCTCTTTCCTGGTCCTCGCCGAGCAGGAAATTCCAGGTCTCCTAAATAAGAGAAAGAGCACCCACATTTAAATTTCCACATCCTTGGCAACATCCCCAAGCCAGCGGTGTGAGGCTCCAGAAGCTTTGCGGGGGGCAGGGGCTTGTCTTTTCTGTTTTGGGTGCTGATTGCTGTTCTGTTGCAGGAGATCACAGACTGTCACTGCTCCTCTCCCAGTTGGTTGGGAGCCAGGAGATTCGGGAGCTCCTGGCCTTGCAGTTAGCCGACTGGCATCAGCTCCAGGCAGATGGCTTCATCCAGGAGGAGAGGCTACGCATTTTTTGCCTCCTCGCTGGCAAGCCGGTGAGTTGCAACGCTTGGCGCTGGCTTTATTACAGAACCACCTGCTGCTCCTTTTTAAGTCTTTGCGCTCTCCTGCTCCAGGTCTGGCAATTATCTGAGAAGAGAAGCATCAACGTTTGTTCCCAACTGGACTGGAAGCGTACTCTCGGCATCCATTTGTGGTACCTGCTTCCTTCTACGGCACCCCTTTCAAAGGCCCTCAGCATGTACGAAGCTGCATTCCAAGTAAGTAGCACCCTCCAGCCAGCCCTGAGTGCTGACCAGAGTCTGAATTAGTGCCTTGGGAGGAGCAGGTGCTCATCCCAAGGAAGCGTGTTTGGCCTTTGTCCAGCCCAGTAGGGTCATTGGGGAGACCCTTTACTTCTCTGTGTACCTCCCTGGTTATCTTGATATCCTCCAAAAGTGTTAGACTTGCAATTCCCATCATTTCTGGCCAGCATACTGGTTGCAGAGGATGGGAGCCCAGCTTGCCATCCCTTGCTCAGATAGCTGTCTAGCCTCCGCCTGAATGCCTCCAGGGTTTTACGATCATGGATGTAGCACAAGTGTTTCATCAGCAGTGGCAAAAAGTGTGTGTGTGTCCAAGAGAGGGGAAAAGGACATTCCTCAGATTAGAGGCATCGTGTTTAGCTTTGTATGAAGGACGTTTGGAAAAGAAGGAAGCAGCTTGTGCGTGGTAATCATCTCCCCGTGACTGGTGAAGGCATCGCTGGGGCACCGTGTCCACCTGGGGCTTGTTTGAAACTGCCCTGGAGAATTCGAGTCACCCTCTAAAGATGCCCAGGGCTGCATTTCACTAACGGGCTTTATGTTCCTCAGGACTCCCCAGATGGTGAGAGATACGCCTGTGCTCCGCTGCCTCCCTATCTAGAAGGCTCGGGCTGCGTGGTTGAGAACAACAGTTCACAACACCCTCTGCGAGATGTGTGTTTTCACCTGTTAAAATTGTACAGTGACAGGTACCTCAGATCTTCTCTTCCTTCTCCCCTCGTGTACTGGGTGGGGAGCCAGAACTCCTGAGAGTTTCTGCAGGAATCATGCAGGTTCCCCACCAAGGCTTGGTCCTCCCACCCAAAGGCTGCAGCTTCCAGAATTCCCACTGTGAGATACACATCCTCAGCTGGGTGTTTGCATATGTTAATTGCTGGGAGGGGGCAGAAAGCAATGTGCGGATCTTTTATTTTCCTTCTCTCTCCCCGATTATCCTGATTTCCTATGGTCCCCAGTTCAAAAATTCTATTCCTTTTTTTTTTTTTCCTTGACTCCTGGTAACTGCCTGAACTAGTCCCTGCAGTTTTCTTGGCAAGATTTTTGGAAGCGGTTTGCCCTGCCTTCTTCCTAGGCTGAGAGGGAGGGACTGGCCCAAGGTCACCCTAAGGCAAGAGTAAAACTCACGGCTTCCCAGTTTCTAGTCTGGGGCCTTAATCGCTACACCAAACTGGCTCTCGTTCCACATTCAGGTCTCCTTAATTCTCACCCAGTTCATTGGCTGCTCTTTGTGGATTTGTAAAGAGGGAGGGGCATTTCATCCAGTGCCATTAGTCTCCAAAACGTTTCGCTTCATGACTTGAACGGGGACACGGGCTTCTGGGCACTCTGGTTTCCTTGGAGGGACAAGGCCGTGGAATGAAGTGGTGGCAACAGCCCAGCACGTGGTTCACCTGGGATTCCTTTGCAGGTGTTACGACTTACACCAGCTGCTTGACCCCCGGAGCATAACTGCAGACCCCTTGGACTACCGTCTCAGCTGGCACCTGTGGGAAGTGCTTCGTGCCTTAAATTATACCCACCTGTCAGAGCAATGCCAGGGAGTGCTGAATGCCAGCTATGCAGCCCAGCTGGAGAGGGAGGGGCTGTGGGAGTGGGCTGTCTTTGTCCTGCTTCACACGCCCAACGCACAGTAAGTGCCCTCTGATCTAATGCCGCTGCTGCCGCTGCTGCCTCAAATAAATTGCTTTAATCTTGGTCTGCTTGTAAACCATGTCACGTTGCTGTATTTGAAGGTTTAGGGAAGTGGCTCCTTGCTATTTCAAATGTGTATGGGAATCTTGCTTTGAGTGTTTTTTAAGTAAAACTTTTAGAATTACAAATTGTGCACTAGAACTCACTTTTACAGTGAGACAGAGCTGAGCAGAGCTGGAGAAAGTGAAATTGTTTTACAGCATTTGTTAGAACATGGTTACCATATGGGTTTTTAATAGGACTAGGATCCCGGGGAAGGAATGCCAGCCACAAAGTGCATTTGTATGTTTGATTCATCCCTCTCCCTTCTGACAAGAGAGATCAGTTTTTAACAGCTTCCTAAATTCTGAGATCAGGGCCGAAATACAGCTCTTGGCAGCAAGCGGGGAGGGGGCCTTTTCCCCGGGCGTCTTCAGGAGAATCCTCCTGATGGGCTTTACCACCAGAGAAGCAGTTCCTTGGGTGGGGTGGTGCAAAGCTGTGAAACCACCTCCTCCTGAGTAGCCGTTTTCTGGGGGCGGGGGGGGACTGGCGGCAGCTCTGGTGGGTCTTGCTGTCCATCCCACTTGGTGCTTTTTAGCTGGGCTTGCCGCGAGGGGCAGGGCTTGGACTCTGCACTCAGAGGTTCCCTCCCGGGATGAACAGAGCATATGTGGGGGGAACAGGATGCTTCCTGCTCTTGTATTTTGCTGCCTGCAGGTTCCAGGGGCAGGGGCAGCCAGCTTAGTTTGTTGCACTGGGTTGTGCCCCTCCTTACCAGTCTGAATTTTGGGGGGCCGTGCTCCTGCCTGTACACACGTGTATGTGTTGTGAAAGGTCAGACGGGAAGCTAGTGCATGGGAGAGCCACCGGCAGATCCCAGCCATTCTCAAAACCAGAAAGAAAAATGCCACAGGAGCAGCAAAAATGCAGTTTTTGAGAAGGCTTGCCTTTGCGGACGGTACTCAGATGCACAGCCTTCGAGCACCGCCACTCAACCCTCCTTTGCCCCCTCCCCCTCCCCAGAACGCGTGAAAGAGCCGTGCGGGAATTGCTGAACCGTCACTGCAAGCTGCTGGAGATGCCCGAGTCTTGGGACAAGGAGGCCTTCCTCACGGAGAAGCTGGGTGTCCCCCCGGAGTGGATCTATGAAGCGAAGGCCTTGTGGGCCAGGAGGGAGGGGGACAAGCCCCGAGAGGCCCTCTATCTGTTCAAGGCTGGCCGCTGGAACCAGTGCCACCAGCTGGTGGTCAGGCATTTGGCTTCAGGTAAGGACGCGCCACACACCCACACACCCACCCACCCCAGTTGCTCTCCCCGGGGCTGAAGCTTCCTGCTAACTGCCATTGAGATTGAGAGCCCCGGAGCCAAATGGGAGGCAGGGACCGAGATGCCTCCCATTAAGACTTTTTCTTCACTGATCTTCCTCACAGATGCCATCATTAATGAAAATTACACGTATCTGAAGGGGTTCTTGGAAGACCTGTCTAGTCCTCAGCGCAGCACCCTCATTCAGGGTTGGGACACTGCGGGGCTGGTTTTCTTGGACTACCTTCAGGTCATCGATATGGTCAACAGAATTCAACAGGTAGGGTGGCCTGGGATGTTGCCTCCAAGGGGGAGCTCTTCCCCCTCTTGGGGAGCTTGGCAGAATAAGTTTTGCTCTTCTTGTAGGCTTGACTCAGGAGGGTTACAAGCACAGGCAAGTGGGGTGACAGTCGGGTTCCAGGATGGTAGGGTATTTCCATGCACACTTTCTGCTGCCTTCACCCTCCTGCTGTTTATCAAGGGGAGGGGAGGGGAGGGGGGTGGTAGTTCTGTGAACCACTAAGGCTCCCTGGTGGGCCAGCAAAATGCCTGCAGAGGCTAGCTGGGCCTGCAAGCTGAGCGTGAAGGCTGCCTGTGCCCCCCCCAGTCAGGATTTACGTCCTGTCGCCCTAGCCAGGCTGAACCACCCTTGAGGCTGGCAGGCACTTCCTGTCACTGGATCTCTTCATTAGGCTTCTCCCATCGGTTGTGTGGTCCACACACAGTCTTTCTCGGGACCTTTGTAGTGGCCTCGCTTAAAGCCACAAAGCCTTTTCTCAGGCCTTGCCTCTGGACTCTCCCGCAGTGTCTGTCAGTGAGCCTCCTCAAAGCCTGCTCTTGCTGTTTCAGCAACCCTCTTCCTCTGCTTCACTTCCTACGGAGGCCTCTTCCTGGTCTTCTGTACCTGTTCCTGGTTTGGGCTCTGAAGGTTTGGGCTCACTTAGCTGGTTCTTTCCAGTTCTTTCGGTACAAAATTTCAGCGTGCTATTCCAGCCAGCTCCAAATGCCCCCCCCCGAATTCCTTACCCCCCCTTGCACACTCACACTCTCTTTCTCCCGCTCTCTCTCTCTCTCTCTCTCTCTCACACACACGCACATGCACCAGCTGGGCTGTACAGTCTACTGTTCCCTACAAAGCCCCATTAGAATCAGGAGGTGGGGTCATTTAAAAGGAACGAGGAGGCAGGGGTGGCAATGCAAGCCCAAAAAGCTTTGTTAAGGCAGCATGAGATCGTTCATGGCGGCCTCTGGTTTCTGAATGTTCAGGGAGGGAGAGGAAGGAGCCAGTGGCACCTTTCACTGCCACTTGGCAGTGGGAGCAGGAGACGCCATCGTGGCACAGCTTTTCAGGGGCACAAGGGGTGATTGGGGACCTGGAGGGAGGAGAGCTTCAGATATCACGGAAGACATTTCGGACTCCCTGCTGAGCCCTGTGCCTTGACTCCTTCAACGCGGCTGATTGCCGGGGAAGGCGCTGGCCGGCACACACGAGAGCCTCGTCTCACCCGGAGGAAGAAACTCTTCCTCTGGCAGGTGGCACAGCACTGTCCCCGTCCCCAGCTGCTGACGCTGGCCCCGTTCCTCCGATTGGTTTTCAGCTGGACTGTTCTGGGTACGAGCTGGAGGAGCTGCACTCGAAAGCCATTTCCCTCTGCAGCAGGATAGAGCTGGTCCCGTGTCACAGCGCCAAGGACAGGTTGGCTCAGTCTGGTAAGGCTGGGGATGGCGTAGGATTTACCCCGGTTTCCTTTTCTTTGGGGGATCGCTACGGGGGGTGACTCGGTTCGTGCGTAAGCCCAGCAAATAAAACCCGGCACCGGACAAAGGGCTTATGGGAGGTGTGGTTAAAACAACGCTGCAGAGAAGGATTGACTGGCCTGCCGTTGTGAACAGGTAGCCTTAGAGCTAAGCTCCTGCAGGGGCCCTTGAGCTGCTTGGTCGAAAGCCACAGATGGCGAAGAATGGGGCCCCCCGCCACGGTTGGCTCTACCGTTTCTCTCCACTCGAGAGACCACACAAGCCCTTGCCCAGATATTAGGGGCTGCCCCGAAGAGGGGAGCGTGCAGGAGCCCTTTTGCTCTTCAAGGCACCCATTTTACCTCTCACCCCCCAAACCTGTAATGTGAAAACAAAAGCTGGGCAGCTTCTTTTGCCGCTCCCAGCTGGGGCCGCAGAACTGAGGCTGGATGGCCAAAAGGGGTTCCTCTCCCCTGATCTTGTGCGCTTGGCCTCCGCCAGCCTCCTGGGCACCCCTTAAGGCCCACTTTGGCTAAAGGGGAGAAGCCCCTGGCGGAGGGGCACATTTGTAAAGAACCCTTCCGGCAGCTGCCCGTTCTCTTGGTGAGATGGTTCCTGCATCTGGTCCAGGCAGGTCCTGCCCTCCCTACCCTGTCGGTTCTCCTGGGAAATTGCTTATGGCCAGTAATCCATGGCCATAAGCACCCTGCCCCTCTCTGTCTCAGCGGACGTGGACTGGAGGCGTCCTGTCCACGACCCGTAGCAGGCAGGTAGAAAGACGAGGGGCCTTTCCGGCTTCTGGGCTCGCAGGTTTTCAAATGCTTCTTCTCCCCCAGAAATGGCCAAGCGCAACGCAGACATCTTGCGTGTGGTGCTGAGCTTGCAGCACCCTCCGGACTCTGCCGCCAGCGCCACCCCTGATGTGCAGAGAGTGCCGCTGCGCCTGCTGGCCCCCCACATTGGCAGACTCCCCATGCCAGAAGACTACGCGCTGGAGGAGCTCCGCGGGCTGACCCAGTCCTACCTGCGGGAACTGATGGTGGTGGCCCAGTGAAGCCGTCCTGCCTGCAAGTCTGGGTGTCCAGCCTGCCGCACCATTAGGCACCCCTTTGGACCCAGCTTTTGGGGTAAAAGCAGCTGCGATGTGGACTCCCTTTGTGCTCTCAAATCTGCACGACTGCCGCCAGCTAGCTTGGGAGGGAGGGAGGGGGAGCAGGAAGCTTATGGGCCGGCTCTACCGTTGGGATCCAGGAGCCCCCCTTCCCATCCCCGTGCGCTTTGTGGTGTTAATGAAGCCCGCTGCCGCAGAATCCAGCAGTGGTGGCTGCCCCCCGCTGGCATTTGGCAGGCCGAAAACAGGGCGGCAGCAGAACTCCTTCCTCCGCTCGGGTGGATGCTAGAAATCATTGTGTGTGAATAGTCAGATCTCTGATTCGACTGAGCTTTGGCTGGAGATTTTGTCAGGGAGAGTCGGACCGGGCATGGCCCTGGAGAGGGCCAGACGGCCAGTACATTTCTGGATTGCCCCTCCAGCGGTTGGCCCGAGCAGCTGCACCCCGCAGAGAAGTGGGGTCTCCCTCCTTCCTTTTATCCAGGGCTCCCTGGGATCGGGCTGGAGAGGCTGCGAAAGGCTGCCTCCGGGGGTCTCCGCATTTACAGATGAAGGTGCTCTTCCCCTCCAGGCCCAGGGCTGCCCTTGGCTGAAGGGGGACAGCTCAGAAGCCAGCCTGTGGGGTCTGCGCATTCCCGATATGCGCAAGGGACTTCCGGATGGGACTGTCTTAACAGGGAGGTGGCCGGAACCCTTTGCACAGCCTCGGCCTGGATCTTGCGGGGAACGCCCGGCCTGCGGTTGGATCTGGGCGGCTGGGGGGTGTGTGCATGTGTGCTTGACTGCGTGTATTGGGGGTGCCAGAAAAGTGGTTACGCATGAAGATTATGTAAAGGTTTTTATTAAAACTATAAATAAATGACCCAGATTATTTTCTTGTCTGTTTTTCTGGAAATACTTTCTACAAAAAAAAAAATAAAATGTTTATAACATTTTCCTGATTGCCTCTTTCTTTGTCCCATTCCCCCCCCCAATCCTCAAACTAGCTGGGTGGGTCTGTCAGAATCCCATCCTGGTTGCAGATCAGTTGGCTCACCGGCAGCGGCAGCTGTCAGCGCACCACTGACCACAGCAGTTGGGGACCTGGCAGTGAGGCAGTGAGCTTCCAGTTTGCAGCAAACGTCAGGAGCTCTTCAGAAGCAGGGAGAGCTCCGCTCTGGTCTGGTCCTGTCACCCCTGGCCGTGCGCGGAGTTGATCTACCTGTAAAGCTGGGGGCGCTTGTGTCGCGTGTTGAAGTCCTGGGTTGCCAAGGGCTCTAAAGGGCATCTTCACCAGACCAAACAGAAGTGCTGATGGTGCCTTTCGGGTAGTAGATGCTAAGCCAACCTCAGGGTCTAAAAGGGAGAGAGAGAAGGTGCTATCCTGCCCACAGCCACGCAGGACAGACTGGCAGCAAATACTGGGACATTTGCATTTTTAGGCCGAGAGCCTAGGGTTGTGGCCTTCTCCAATCTGACCCACTCCCGATTCCTGACTGCCATGCTAGGGCTGGGGATGTGTTCGTTGTATCTTCCTGAAAAGCACTAGGTCAGAGGAGAGGGGCTTCGCTTGTTCTGAATTTCCATGGCCCGTCTCCAACTTGGTCTCTGTTTTTCTTTTTGCAAGTTGCCAATCTTCACTTGGAGCTGAAGTGCCAGCAAATAACTTTCTGTATTGATTTTTAGGCTTGTGTTGGGCAGATGGAAAAAAAACCATGCCTGTTTTAACTTTTTTCTCTGTATTTTAAAATACTTGTCAGATTGGAACTGGAAAGAGGAGCAGTTTAGCTGTACAGGTAGTCCTCTTTTAGCAACCACAACTGAGACGAGCAACTTGGTTAAGCTAAGCAGTTGCTAAATGAAACCGCAGCTATGCTTATGATCTGACTTCAGCTTTCCTTTGGTTTACAGACCTGCAAAGGTCATAATGCGAGGATTGGTCACAAAGTTACTTTTTCATCACTGTTGTAACTACAAATGGTCAGTATATGAGGCAGTCACTAAATGAGGACCACCTATATTCTTGAAGTCCCAAAGTTATCCATGCTGCTCAAAACAGCCCCCCTTATATATTCCAAGTCTGCTTGTGCGATTCCTTCTGGGTTGTTCACCTGTGAAGATGGGAGTGTTAATGAAACTTCTCCCGACCTACTTCTCTGCAGATCTGAGGCTCCCAAGAATTCCCGCAAGGGCCAAGGAATTCTTGAAGTTGCAGGATGAGGAAAGCGAGAGTCACAACAAGCTTCCACTTGGGAATTAAGCAGCAGGTTACTCTTCCTTTATGATTTTTTTTCCCACAGGTACTTGCTAGGATCCCCAATGTCTCTAAGGTTAATGGGATGAAAGCTGTTCTTGTTTAGGTACTATGTTATTACATAAATGTGAGCGTTTCTAGGGGTGAATTCTTAACAAAAAGTTCATTTACTTCTGAATCTTTGGTTTCTTGATTCCTCTAATAGCAAGATACAGTACACAGTGACCTGGAGGGAAATCTTTGCCTAGGCGCATCCATATGCTGGCTGGGGAATTCTGGGAGTTGAAGTCCAAACGTCTTAAAGCAGCCAAGGTTGAGAAACTGGTATAACGGGGGCAGGGGCCAACCACTGCACTTCTTAACAGGATCGCGACTGTAAGGGCAAAGGTTTGGGTCAGTGGCATCCAAGCAATGCCACATCTGGGGGTTCAGAAGAATTTCTGCAGCAGGCGTGTTCCGCATCGGCTTTGCTCTCTCAAGAGCACGTAAACTGATCCAGGGCCAATCCTCGGGGCTCCTGAGGCTCCTCGGTTGCCATAACCAATAACGGTGGTCAGCGGTTTTCAGGGGCATCGCAGTATTTGTATTTGCAGGGAAAACGGCAAAAATAACCCTGCATTTATGGGGCTGTTAGCTACAGTTTGCTGCACAAGCCATAGTGACCTACTTTGCCCATAATGCTCCTTAACATGACATGCAAACCAGGTAACAAATAATAGGAGCTAGGCTAGACTAAAGATCTAGTTCAAGGCAGACTAAAGATTTTTGCCACAATAAATCTGTTGAATTGTTAGGTCTTTTTTATTTTTAAATTATCTCGTGGATCAACTACCTTTCGACTGCTGTCTATGATTTGTCTATAATTTCAACACAGTGCTTCTTGAATGTGATCCATTCAGAAATATGGCTTTTTCTTTTAAGGATAAGTAAACCAGTGGCAGCATCTTCAGCGTTTGGCACACTCTGCTTTCAACCACGTGTACGGGCACCGAAATTAAATTTGTTCACTTCAAATATTTGAATGACTCTATAATGTAACCTGCCACACATACTTGAGAACGCTGTGGCACTTCAGGGCTACCTTCTGTGTTTTCCTAGAGGCTTATTTTAACCTCCTCCTGCTCCTTTCTTCAGTGCCATGCATGACCCACTTCCTGGGGTTTTGTTTCCACCCTGGCTGAGCTAAGGAAAGCCCATCCGTGACGCCCGTTGCAGAAAAGACCGGCTCGCGCACGATCTGCAGCGCTTGGAAGGAGGACAGCAGGCAAGACCTCGCGCTGATTCTACCAGCAAAGCTGTGCAGGTCGCCTTCTCGGCGACCAGCTCAGCTCGCTGATCTGCACATTCCTGGCTAACATCCCCAGTAGGCGAAGAGGTGTGAAACGTCCTGTGGGGTTTGGTAGGGCTTTTTTTCTCACTCCTCTTGGTGGGCATGAAGATGCCTTGGAATCTTGCCGTTTGCACCTTCCTGCTTCCTGGGGTCTTCCTGGGATTCTTCTGGATGCCAGGTAGGGCGTTTCCCAGGATTGAAAGGTGGTCTTTGCTTAAGGAAAGAGTGATTTTGCAAATGTGTGCCTTTATCAGCTCAGCAACGCAGTCCTTCTTGCACTCCTGTTGCTCACTTAAAGGGAGTTTTCTGCTGATCGGGGTCCTTGAGATCCAACAGCGCCGGAGCTTCAGATCCTAAGTTGCCTCATTTCCCTCCCATCGAGGATAGCAGGTAGAATTCTCCGTGCTAGGGCTGCTCCCTTTGGGTTTAGTGTCATGCTTTCAACAACAAAAAAGAGTATCCTAATAGCAACATAGAAACGTGGCCTTTAGAAGAGGCATTTTGGAATTGCCATCAGCTAAATTGGATTTCAATCATCGGTGCGAGGAAAAGCACCAACTAATAATTGAACTGGCGTGTCTTGATCTGTAAGCGAACCTTACAAGATGTCGCTAGAAGTCCCTGGCGGGAAACAGGACACCTGTCATTAAACTTTCAAACCAGGGAAGGGACAGATCTTGCAGAACCGCTGTCACTCGGCAGCTGAAACCAAGGAGGAGGTGGGTGCTGTTGAGGAAGAGCAAATGGGTCGTATAATCACGGGAAGTCTGTGGTGGTGAGAGGTTGGGTCCAAATCTCACCTTTCCTGAGGGGGTCCCTCCGGGCTAGGTTCTTGTTTGGTTCATGCTGGCTGGGGAATTCTGGGAGTCGAAGTCCACCTATCTTAAAGTTGAAAAGGTCGAGAAACGCCACTGTGGGTGTTTCATTACCAGCTAGACAGCATCATCAGTGCGTGCCCACGGCCTAATAATGAAGTATCTGCAGGAAAGCAACCAAGCTCAGAGAGCATCAAGAACCAAACGAGTGACCTACAAGAGCCACGAAGACCTGGCTCTTTGGTGAGGGAGGGTGAGGTCCTGCATTTCATCATCCTTGACATCTTTTATGTTTTATTGATTTTATTGTGATTTCTTTTATTGTTGTTGGAAGTTGGACAGGATACAAATTTGTTTGTTTGCTTGTTTTCTGCTGTGGTTTCCCGAAGTCAGAAGCACACCGTTCTCAGCTTTACCATGGATTGGAAAGCAACCTTCTTACAAGGTTGCTGCCAAGACCGGCAAGCAGAGCCTTCAGCCATCGTAAGGGTGGGACTAGGCTAAGATTTGGTGGAACACCACCAGCAAATCTCAGGGTGGTGGGCTAGACGGGGAAGTCAAAAACCTATAAAAAGGCTGTTCCATAAGAGCTAAGAAAACTACATGGATGTATCTATGGAGTCACCGCATAAAGTTTAATTTGAAGGCATCTTTCTCCTTTAGGGCAGCAGATACAGGGGAAGATTTTCCAGGGAAATAGCTTCTGGGGCTCCCAGAACCCCAACTCAAGAGGGAGCATCAGGTTAAGCTTGTGCTAAGGCTGATTCATGGGGCCCGTCTTTTGATGACCAGCAACTCTTGGTTTAAACCAGTATTTCTCAACCTTGGGAACTTTAAGATGTGTGGGCTTCAACTCCCAGAATTCCCCCACCCGCAGGGCGGGCCGGGGGAATTTTGGGGTTTAAACCCC